GCTTTAGCTTTAGTTATTACAAAAAAAAACAACCTTACTTGAAATTTTATAAAAAACAGTCTTATAGCAATTTTATAAAATAAAAACCTTTTTAAATTTTTTATTGAATAATTTAATATAGAAATAAAAAAATGAAATATACTTTATTTTTAGCTTTATATTTTTTAAAAAAATATTAATTCATTAAAATAAAAGCTAAATATACCTTTTTTAAATAATTAGCAAAATATATAGTCTTGAAAATAAGCTATTTTTGAAATAAGTAAGACCTAATAATCATTTAGTAATGATAAAAATTATAATCTTTTTTTAAATAATATATAAGTTATTTTATATACAAATAAATCTTGATATAAAAAGGTTGCCAGATATAGTTAAACACTTTCTTATATTAAGATTTTTTGTATCAAGAGCTTTTTATTATAGAATTTTTAATTAGAACTTACAAAATCTTACTTATATCAAGAGTTTTTTATATTAAAGGTTTTTTATATCAAGAGTTACTTGTATTAGATTATAGCTACTATATTAAATTATTACTAATAAAACCTTTTTATGAATAGGTTGGGAGTATGCAGTTTTTAAACATTTATTTATTTTAATAAATTTATAGATTAATTATTTGTCTATTTATTACCTTATTAATGTATTAGGATGTGAATATTTTTAAGAATTCATGAAGTTTGAATATATATTTAGTTTCTATAGTTATTTGAATAAATTCTCAACTTTTTGTTTTTAGAATAATAGCTTATTAAATTTTCTTATTAACACCTGTTTTGTATTATATTATGAACTGCTATAATTCCAATTTATCCAAAAAAAAAATTGTCTAATGAAAATTTTTTTGTATAGTATTGTATGTACTGTATGCATGCACAGAAAGCAAGCTTAATTTTATAAATTTTAGATAGTTTAAATTTTTATTTTATAACAAATATGCTTAATTAATTATTCTTTTTTATTTTTATAAAAAGTGCCTAATTTCAATAAAAATTAATTTACTTGCAATTAAATAACGATATATACTATAAAAAATATTGAGTAAGAAAATCAAGAATGGAAATTTGTAAATTTATATTTCAACGACACAATTATAATATTTTTCAATGATTGGATCTGTTGTTTAAAAAAAATATCGCTTGTATATTACTGTATATAAATGCTTCAAATGTACTAAAACACAAAAAAACATATGTAGTACAAAAAAATATTTTTTCAATATACATACGTGCATACTATCAAAAATTTGCTTTACGTATATACGTCTATACATGCATTCCCGTACTGTACTACTTTGCTAAATATCTTGTACACTCTAGTAGTTCTGTACAGTTTTCAGGGATTTTTTTTTATCGAATTCATGTTGTATAGTCTATCCTGGCAAAACCAATCCTGTTAAAATTAACAAGTATACAATATTGGGAAAAAGAGGTAATTTGTCAAATGAGCACGTGCCGCTTGCGGCACGTGTAGCCAATCATTTGTCGAATTACCGTATTCGACAATTTGCCCAATATTGGTGGTGTTATCCGGCAATTTATGATCATGATTGGTAGGGAGTTGCTCACTGAGTTTTTTTTTTTAAATACTGGAATAAACATAATTACATCATAACACATGAAAAAAGAAAATTTTTCATAATCATATGGATAACCTGCTTTATTTGGTAAAAAATCAATTCACCGAGCTTGTTCCCTAATTAATTTCCAGATAACCTGCCATTTCTGATATCTGATTTCTTAATAAGATATGTGCCTATTACAAGTTTATTTGAATCCACATTGGATTCAAATAAGCCCATTCCAGGTTCATTTGAACTCAATCTGGGTTTAAATAACCATATTCCTATTCCGTGTTTGTTTGGACAAACTCAGGTTCAAATGAGCCCATTCCGGGTTTATTTGAGTTCATTTGAACTCAACCTGGCTTAAATAAGCCTATTCTGGGTTCAAATGAGCTCATTCCGGGTTCGTTTGACCCAACCCAGGTTTAAATAAAACACAATTATTAATACAACTATATATATATTATAGGGTCGCAAATACAATGATAAACCTGATAAAAAAAATAAATTTCTAGTTGCTGATGAGACTTACCAGCTATCATGCGACACAATGTATACTAATAAAATTATTAACTCGCAGGAAATAAGAAATGCTCTAATATCTGAATCAATCATATTTGTACATCTAAAAATATTGAACTAGATCTTTAAATTTCTAAAGGTACTCACAAATATAAAATTTTATATTTTAATCAGTTAAATAAAGACTAATTTGCTAAATTACATTTAATACTTTAAGTTTCATTTTAAATGTTAAATAGCTCAATATTTATCATGAAATTAACTTTTTACACATAATGCTAAATTTTTTTTTAAGAAATTTAAAACATATTCACATACAAGGTATCATATTGCCTCAATAAAATAGATAAATGCTCAATATAGGTAGTGACTAATAAATAATTTTGATAGAAAATATTTGCCTTTTATTTCAGTTTTCGTGTCTTTCGTAAGTTTCACTATTTTTTTACCTTTCATCAAATTTCGCCAGATTTTTCGCATTTTGTCATGCTTCGTTAGTCTTAACAAAAACTATCTGGGATATACTTGCATCATATTTATATGTCATGACAGGAGTTAAAGCCTGCTGTAACCGTTCAGACAGGCACAGGTCCAGTCAATTAAAGTAGCAGCTAACGACGTATATATGTATATTGTTACAATCATAATCCTATTCAGATGTTGCGAATAAACACTAAATAATTGAATCATTTAATGTTAAAATTGACTTTTAAGTTGCATTCTTTAGTTTTATATCAACGTTCATTATCTTCCGTCAAGAATTAACTACTGCAGTTAAAAAAAAAAAAAAAGACGTTATTGAAATTATATTTTCTGCTGAAAATGGTAAAATAAAATTTTAATCAATTGAGCAATTTATCATATAAAAAAAACAATATAAGATACTAAAATTAATAGATTACTGCGCTTTAAAATTACAATGATCACCCATGAGGAAACAACACTATTTCTTTAAATTCCTTGTTATTTGTTACTATATAGTTTTTGATCTATATACAGTAGTCTCGGCAAAACTATTTTCGGAAATTGAAAACATTTACCTTGTAAATTTATTTTATAAATCAGAAGCTTTCAAAACTAAATACGTCTAATTTGGCTATAAATAATCTGAAAGTTGGAATTTACCGCAACACTAAAAAGATTCAATTGGTTCAGAATTCTTCTAGTTTGTGTCATAATATTTCTTAAGAGGTTAGAACCATTAAATTTCTGGCTAGTTAATTAATACCAGAAATGAAGTAACATAATCAACAATAGGTTACTGCATGTTTTTCTGCACCAGAAATAATATGATCAGGTATTGCAACGCGTAAAATTTAGGTTATTGTTTGTTAATAAACATTTCAGCAAAATATTATTTGCAGAATTGTCATGTCAATAAATTGTAATATTTAAATGATAAGATTACAGCCAGGGATAACTGTGCATGCAGGCAAATTGTTTTCCTATCCTGTTATAAAAAAATGGACCCTATTTTTAATAGCAAAACTAGTCTCGGGCACGTCCTTACATCCGTGCTATAGGAATTATAAAACTAAACTACAATAAAATAAGGTTTTGTCAGTTTCATGTAAAATGATTCTACTATTTGGGATGTCACGTATTAAAACAGCCCATTTTAACATATAAACAACTTTTGTGTAAATTAATTTTAAGCAGTGTTGGCATTCGACTACGTATAATAAAAATTTATTTTAACTTGGACAAATATAAACGTGGACTAATCTAAATAGTATCCATGTCCATATCTCCTTTGCCGAATATTTTGGAATATTTCGGACATTTACCCTAATTTTGGCTTATTCTATCCAGAATATTTCGGTGTAACAAGCTCACATGTTTGATTTGGACTAAATACCTAATGTCCAATATGAAAAACATGGACAATACGGACATAGTCCATAAATGTCCATCCCAACGGTCCATGATGTCCATGTTCATATTTGCCAACACTGGTTTTAAGTGATGATCTACAAATAGCAATATATATATAATTTTCAACTTAAAAGTTTATTTTGTGAATATTTTTATTATAATTAGTCTTTGTAAGTTTATTGAATGTATATCAATTCAAAAAAATAAAATAAAATTTTGAAAATCAAATAGGACGTTTAAATACGCGACACCCCATTTAAAATTATCATACGAAGTCACATGAACATTGTACTTATGTATAATGACATGTACATACGAACGAACATGCCTTTGTATTGCAAGAATTAATAATCCTCGAGATCTTGTTATAGAATAAAATTGAATATCTATTAACAATCTGAATACGTAACATTCCATCTTACATTAAACTGGTCAGGAGATCTTATTGGCGTCGATTATTAGAAGAGGCCAGATTGATGTATCTTTCACAGTCAAAATAGATAGCTTAGCATTTACTATTATACTATATCGTCATATTATTCATATTAATTATATTAATTTACAGACTAATTATTATTCGGTGTATTTAAATTATCTGATTTAATAGCTTTTTACTATTACGACTATTATGATAATTTTAATCTTATTTGAGGAATCGTAAATATATTTCAATTTTTAATCATGATTTAGAATTATAAAAACTTTACACAAATATCAGCCAATGGATCTGCAACAATATGTGATTCTGTGCTACTATATAATCGTCATGTGTTGTCTGTATGGCTACACAAATCCGTTACACGAATATAGACCAATCGGATTCGTTTTATTCCGGACGGCATGACAGACATTAAAATTTTAGTAGAATAAATTTAAAAAAATAACCATGAAATAAGTTAAAAAACTAAAATTTAAAAAACAAGTTAAAACCTGATATAAAAAACTAATACATAGTTAAAGCTAATATAAAATTTAAAAACCATATATCAGTATAGAGTAGAATTATATAAAAAATTTTCAAATTACGTATAAATCTCTAACAAGGGCATGTACCACTACCGGTACATGTACCAGTTTGGCAGCCATTACTATTATCCTTAAAACAATCACAACCGTTTCCAAAAAAATACCACCTAGCGCTGGCATGCTTATCAAGACATCCAGTGCACTGAGCATCAGCACAGCAAAAGCTATTTCCATCAGAGGTTCCACAGCAACCATACGTGCAAGGTCCTAACCTGCAAATACTGGTACCGTTGGGAGCGCACTGCCAAATATCGCTATGACCATAAGAAATGTCACCAACATTAGAGCAATACTGTCCCTTACCTAAAATAAAGATTTGGGCATAGCTATTAGAAAGAGAAAATAATAAACCAAAGCATACAAAGTTAACTTACTCAATTCACCGCCACAGGTGAGACCACCACCAGTATAATAGGGAGCCATAGGGCACACACAGCCATAAGGATTAGTGTAGTCACAGGCGGCAAGGGCGCATGAAATAAGAAAAGTTAAGAGACCCAAGATGAAAAGAGGACGAATAAAGTGTTCCATTGGATACAAGATGAAAAAAACGAACTAATAGAGTTTTCATTTTTATGCTTATTTTTTTGTTTACAACAATGATCGGAGTTTATTGAATAATTATGTGACTTGTGTTTCTACTTTGCGGTTTTGTAAAACCTTAATCATTTTAGTGCTGCAAAAGATCGGAATTACCTTCTTAAATTTTGTTTATTGACATTTGTCACATCATTTAGTACAATTATTTATTATCTAATGTACTAGGAGCATAAAGCTAAAAAAAAATTAATAATAAACTAATATAGCTTTATTGTACCAATATTTTAAAAATGGATATTATTTATTTTATTTATTTATTATTTATTATTATCGTGCAAACTCTTATGATCATGGCATTTTTTTGCCCTGATATTTTACAACCGGTTACACAAGCTGATAATTCTCAAATTCGCAAATGTTGAAGCAATATTCGAAAATACTTTATTATTTATGCATTAA